TTGCAGAGCGGGAAGCGAAAAGGTTGATGTTTCTAGCTCTGGAAGAGCAGTGTGGCTTCACGGTGTGCCACCAGATCAGCAAGACGTGTGACTCAGACCCGCTCTGTCAGGACTTGCTGGTGAACGCTTCGGACCTTTTAGACGGAGGCTCGTCTTGCGTTTTTACCGACATCAAGGAGCAGATACATCCCACTGCTCAGGAATTTCTTGCAAACCTGACGCCTGAGCCATCATGTGACAGAGATGGATGTTTGAGAGCTTATGCGGCAATGGAAAGCTTTCTGGTTGAAAATGGCAAGTGGGCAGTTGATGAGGCGAGACTTCGTGCAAAGATCTTAACCATGCTTGTCACAAGTAACTTGTTTTGACCTGTGAGTAACAAGTAACAAGTACAAATGTATTTTACAAAGGGTTGATTAAGTCATTTTTTCACAAGACTCTCTTGTGCACTCACCACACCAAAACCTAGTTGTTCAAGTGCTCACTTGCAGGGTCAAAGCACAGTTCAGAAGCCAAGAACAGTTCGATTTCGCTGTGTGATTATATTTGTTCCTTCGACCTTTTAATTTATTAGGTCTAGATTTGAAAAGCTTCACCTTGCTCAGTGCCAGGAGCACAAATCCTTCTGTGTCAAGCATGGTGGCGATTGCGTGGTGAACAAGCCAAGGAGATTATTCTCGGCTGATGCCCTTGTGATAAACGACGCTGGAAATTGTTGCCAAGGTTGGTCCAGTGAAGGATCCAGGGGAAGGCATGCCCACCACAGCCAGCATGCCTTGCTTGTCTGGGTGTCTCAGAGGCGTGAGCTAGCAAAGCGAAATGAGGAAGATATGTTCTTCCAGGAATGCACGCCGCAGTTTGACATTGAAGGTTGCCTCCGGACCCCCTTATCTTCTACCCACGAAATCATCGACGTTGTGACGGGCCCAGAATGCCATGGATGGCCATGTTCCAGGCCAAGGCGCTTGGGCGCAGGCCTGAACCTGAATACTTTGGTGTGGGTGGGCCCCAAAGGGCAAGATGAAATCCAAGCATGCTTCGATGAGATTTTTGAGCGGTCTTGTCAGCTGACGGGCTGTGTGTTTCTGCAGTCGCCATCTGCAGAGTCACAGCAATGGTTTGCTGATAAGATGAAGCAACGGGGCAACTATGCTGTGGATGCCCATGCAGCCCCAGCCAGATTCAAAGGGGGCAAATGTTTAGGGAAAGTTTTGACATCTGGCCAGTTTCAAAGGTACTCCAAGTACAAGAAGCAGAAGCATGCTCTGATGGCTTTAGATGGAACCTTCTTTTGTGATGTGGATCATTGGCCCGACAGCCCCGGACCTACTCCAGGACCGTTACTGCCCACGCTGCTCAGGCATGGGACGATCCTCGAGTTGGAAAGCGGGCGGGTGGTGATGGCCAGTGAACGCTGGCTCAGCTTAGGCTTCAATGTGTTTGAAGATTTGATGTGTGCAGAAGTTGGGTTTGAACGCTACCTCTGGCCCCAGAGAAAGGTAGTGCTTGGCTTGCCAGAGAGGGCGCAGCACAGCCTTTCTGGCAACTCTCAGTCTTTGCCTGCCATCATGGCGTGGTTTCTTTTTGTGTTTTGCAACACAATCCGCAGGGACCCAGGGAAGCTTTTGCGAGAACCGGCACTTGAGGCTGAAGATGTGAGCGACGCAGATTCCAACGTGACGCTCAAATACAGGCCTGCTCACTGAAGTGCCGGCCAGACAGGCCCAACGTTTCCAGGTGCTGTGATCGGTGAAGACAGCGTCAGTAGCTTAATCATAGAACACTTTGAACTTGGACGTGTCACACGCCAGGTTGGGAACCCAAAAGCTCCCTGCATTGTTCAAGAATTGTCTTAGCTGTTGACTGTTCACAATGATTTTTCATGCCTTACTTGTGCGTTATGTATTTTTATTTACACACATTGTTCGTTTGAACCCACCCGGAACCCAAGCTGTAGCTGTTAAATATTTTGTAATAAGCCCAAGAGCGGCCAGAGCTTGAGACATTATTGATGTGAAGCGCTACATGAACATGAAGCGGTGAAAACAAAAGGTGAACTCTTTGGTGGTTTGCCGTCAGCAGCAGGTGTGTAGGGGCACCGGGGCGTAAAGCTTGAAAGGGATGAAGTTGCATTGGTCCTCGCATTTTTTTTGTAGGGAAAGCTTTGAGGCATGTTGACAGCTGTAACTAATTTAACTGGACAGTGGACAGACTGGACGACTGGACACCAAGCATGGCGACATAGCTATTATTTGAGGAACCAAATTTGCAGTGCTGGATGCTGCCGCCGCAGCCGTTAAAAAGACAGTCAGGCCCAAGCCCCAAAGAGTTTCCAGGTGAACATAGAACCGAAATGTCTATTTTCCGCCGCTCTCTCGCCTTTTTGAAAGAACGGGAAGGCCAGATCCTTGGGAGTTTGAAACCATCAATGTTTTAAGATGAGGCGTTGCCAGTTAATGGTTGCAATTCTGATGCGTTGTGTTCTGTCTCAACATCTGAAAACTCGCAACTTGTTTTTAACCAGGACCTGCTGTGCCAGCTGTGCGCCTTCCTGCTCCCGCTGCAAGCCTTGGATCAGACACTGGTCGTGGCCGTGTTAGACTTGGTGAGCTGATCCGCAGTGATGAGGAACGCAAAAGGTCCCGCTCACCAACAGGGGGTCTGGATGTGCGGGCTGTTAGAGCAAGAGGTTCTGAGGAAGGTGAGGCTGCTGCAGAGCCACAAGAAGAGCCCCTCCCAGCAGAAGCAGAAGATGCGGGCCCTCAGCCAGGTGCTGGCGCAGGTGATGCTCCACACCGTGTTGGGGATCAGCCGCCACTCTTGGAAGAGAAAGGGGAATGGCATCCGCGCTTCGGTTTTCTCATGCCGAAATATTACGATGTTTTGGAGCAACTGCCTCGGGAGGCATGGCCTGTCAACCCGACCCAGGCGAAGCATTCCTACAGGCTGCGCATCTATGGCACTTGCTTCATCATCGTTGACTTGCAGAGGGGCTTGTTCCGTGCCACGTTAGGGGGCCAGTACCATTCAGTCAACTTTCGAAACTTCGATGGAGGGGTCCGGGCTGCTTGGGAGCATGCAGTACAGCAGGCTTTTGAGTGGAGTGTCAAAGATGAAAAGATGAGGGGCTACATCCAATCTGAGAGGCGTTTCCATGGCCAGTGGAACAAGCCACAGCCTAAGGCCAAGGCAGCTGCAGCTGCAGTGCCAGCAGCTGCAGCTGCAGCTGGCCTTGTGGGCGCAGATTCTGACACAGAGTCATGGAAGGTTGTTGGCTCTGATGATGAATCTGGCTCCCAAGGTTGTGACTCTGACTGATGGACCCACAGCGCCTCGCATGGGACGCAAGGCAATTTTGAAGAAGCCCAGGACGGACGCAGTTGATGGGAATTGGGTTTGCAAGGGCTTTTGCCTTTTCCGCTGAGCCGTGGCCGTTTAGATTAGGTCTAAATCTAGAAAGGGGTTCCAGGAACACGTCTCACACCCCAGGGCTGGCTTACGTGACACTGACTCATGTGTGTGCAGTTCAAACGGTTTGCTGATTGCAGGTCTTTGCTTTTGAGTGTTGAAACCGTTGGGTCCGAATTGATCACCTCCCATTCCTGAACCACCTTTTCTGTAGGGAAAGATTCCGTTTTTTGCCGAACTTGCCCCAGCTTGCAATCATGTTGTCTAGGTGTCTAGGTTTTACTGACTCATGTGTGTGCAGTTCAGACGGTTTGCTGATTGCAGGTCTTTGCTTTGAGTGTTGAAACCGTTGGGTCCGAATTGATCACCTCCCATTCCTGAACCATCTTTTCTGTAGGGGAAGATTCTGTTTTTTGCGAAACTTGCCCCAGCTTGCAATCATGTTGTCTAGGTGTCTAGGTGATTGACGTTCGCTCAGTCTAATGTCACCAGGTTGTTTTCTGTAAAGCAACATGCCCAGTTCAAGCCCAGTGTTACCTGTGTGAAAACCATGGAAACGGATTTTTATTGGCAGAATTGTGAAAATGTCACAGCTACAGACAGCTCCTTCTCATGCAAGACGAGACAGCAGAAAGCATGTCATTGAAATTTGATGTTGTCGCTTTTCTGCATTCTTTGCGCTGTTGTAACCTCTAACCTACTTTGTAGGGTGTACTGACACCTGCCCATGGACATGGAACAAGAAGATCTCTTTGGACATGTTGGAGAGGCGCCTGAATGCAAAGCAGAAGATAAAGGAAAGGGAAAAGGGAGAGGCCGCGGCCGAGGCCGTGCCCGCAACAACAGTGACAGCGGCAATGGACGTGGACGTGGCCGTGCAGATGGTGAGAATAAAAAAAAGCAGCAGCCTGTTACCACTTGCATGTGTCCAGGATGTTCATACCCAAAGTATCCAGGCTCCCGCTTTTGCAGCATGGGTGACCACAAGCGTGCTTGGGACAACATGGTGTACCAAAGACGCAGCAGAAAGGAGGTCACCGATGAGCAAAAGCGGGCTTTTGATGATGCCATGAAGGACGATGGCTTTGCTGGCCGGGAGGTTGCCAAATTTGCCAAGGACAACCCGCCTGAGATGAGGCGCAAAGGCTTGGTGGATTTCCTTCGGTTTGAAAGAATCAGAGGTGAGAAGGTGTCCACCAATGAGCAGCATGGCCGCATGCCCATGACTGAGAAGGCTTTCTACAAGCATTGTGACAACGTGCTGGGCCTTTCTGAGGAGGAATCCAAGGAATATTGGCTGGAGTTGTATGAAGATCGGACCGTAGAAAGGGATTCCAAAGGCTACCGCGGAGCGGAACGGCTTTGGATTGAGGCCCACGATTTGAAGTTCAATGCGCGAGAACATTTTGTGGCCAACCAAGTGGTTGAGTCGTCAGATCAAGTCAAAGCCCCTACGGAAGAGCAAAGGACGATTTTCAAGAAGCATTTGGCACGCCAAGACCTTAGCTTCAATGATGAACATTTCGATATGAATGGGCAGCAGTCAGCAGACACGGCCAAGGGCCCGTGTCCTGCTGCTGCTGATGCTGCTGCTGCGCTCTCAACTCCCAATTCGAAGGCCAAGCCTGAGACAAATGAGACACCAGAAAAAACGGTGAATCTTTGCAGAGAGCGGCCAGTACTTCACAGACAAATCGAAGCTTCTTTGAGAAAGATCGAGGCAGATATCAACAAGGCAATGCAGGCAGCTGTGACCGCGCAAGGGAAGCACAAAGAACACCCAAGTGAGATGAAGGCTTCGGATCGGGCGCTGCTGACACTTGCTCGGATTTTGCAGTTTCGGCAAGAAGTCTGCGCCAGGGTGTTGGGAAAAAATGGTGATATCATCCAACTGGTCCCGGATTCCGCTGAGAATTCCGTGGGTCCAGTTGGTGAATCACTTCCTACCGGTGCTCCATCTTCCCCAACCTCTGTCCAAACTGGTCAAGTGGTGGACGGTGGTACCAAGTCTTCACTAGGCGAGGAACTTGCCAGAAAGCAGGAGCAGCAAACGTCGGCTTTCTTGGCATCCCAACGCTGTGCCAACCAGAAGTTTTGGGAAGGTGAGGTTGCAGATCTGCAGGATCTAGATTCGGTCCGAATCATTCTTGACAAAGTCTTGGAAGTCAAGGCGGCTGACACTTTTTTGCAGTTGAAAGCAGACTGGCAAAAGTCTGAGAAGGTCTTCGTGCAAATTTTCAAATCCACCAAGGTCGCAGCGGACGATTTGCTCAAGCACATGAAAGTCAAAGTGTCTGAGGCTGAACGGGAAAAAAACGTAAAATATCCCAAGATCAAAAAAATGAACTGCTCAAGGTGAAGAAAGAACAGAAGGCCGCAGCGGATGCCATCAAGAACCGGAAGGTAGAAGTTTCAGTGCCTGCCTTGTTCACTGCAGAGCTCCATTGCCCAGCAGTGGTGGAATTGTCAGCAAACTTTGATGCCAAGCAGTGTGACTGGACAAAGCCGTGGGCTGCTGCCGGTCCTGAAGTGGTGCAGCTTTGCCTGGGAGAACCAAAGGTGCAAAAAGCGCTCGCGGCTTGGGCGGTGCAGTACAAAAGGGCGCTGGCTCAAGCAAAGCTGGACCTTGTGACTTTCCCCTTCAGAGATGGAGACGGGAAAGAGCAGGTCGATGGCATGTTTGAAAAGCTGCTGCCCCAAGACGGCCTTGTCTCTGACATTTCCAGCGTCTCTGGAGGGGAGGTCTTCATGAATTCCACGTGGCTTTTTGGTGCCAGCTCAGACTTGAAGAGTTTGTCATTCCTGCCGAACCATGCAGCAATGATCAAGGTGTTGGTTTGTGGCAAGGTCACACACCTCCTGTTCAAATGGGACACAGTGGTCTCTGCCTTGGGGAAACAGGGGGTGGAAGGGCAGGAAGAGATCCGAAAGCATCTTCTCAATTCCACGTGGGATGAACTCAAGACGCTCACTGATGAAGGAGCATCAATGCAGTCCCATAGCTTGCAAAAGAACCAGGTCTTGTACATTCCAATGGGTTGGGCCCAGATGGAGGCCGCTTCAGATTCTGCCCTCCTGTATGGTGTCCGCAAATCTTTCTTCATGCAGAGCGGGGCAGATGTCTACAAGCAGGCCATCGCTATGGCTAAGGCCGCTGGTGGGAAGGATGTCAAACGAATGGAGGAAATTCATGCGGTTTTGAGCAAGGCTTGACTGCTTGACGCCTTGTTTGCGCTTGAAGGCTTTCTTCGTCACGAGGGCCGTGCCACACCGAGGTGTGATTTCGGATCATGATGTGATCATGATCATGTGATTTGTTTGAGACTTGAAAGCTTTCTTAGACCGCGCAAGTTTTGGTCACTGGTTCTTGGCAAGCCTGTGGATTCACAGTGTTTAGATTTTTGTGAGAACAGAAGCGACCCAGTCCAAATGCAATATAGAAACTTGTTTACCTTTGTTTTGGGTTTGCCACTGAGCCATCTTTTCACAAGCTGCTGGGTGAACCTGGCTTGAGTCTTTGGAAATCGCGAGAAAAATGTCATGGCAGCCCATTGATTGAAAGCCAAACTTGTGGCACAGCATGGCCAGAGCCATGTTTCTTTTGTGACATTCAAAATTATACAAGAGGCACCTGGGGTCCTATTATTTGAAAGCTAACAAACACAGAAAAGGAGCAACTTTTACCGACATTTTTTCTTCTACGTTAAATTGCCAAGGACCGCTGCTTATGGCGCGGACACACGCCATTGACAGGGTTGCAAGCCCCGATGCCTTATGTGCAACATCATGCAGCATTTCTAATGAAATAGAAAATGGCATCGCTTTAGAAAACACCGCTTTAGAAAACACCCTTGGTAGTATGATGCTTTTTTGTTCGGCATTCGTTCTGGGAAGGTTTTGTTTTTTCTTTGTGGGGGGTTGGTTTTGCTGCTCAAGGATAGCAAAAATTGGCAACGGCAATGCCACAACAAGTCATTGTTTTGAGCAGCGCGCCCCCTTCCACACCGGATCATAATATCATTCCTTAAGGAGATTTTGTTGCGTGTTTTCATGAGTTGTTTTTGGCTGCTCCGTTCTAGGCTTGCAGTTTGGACTTGTTCTCAAGTTCTCAATCTGTCACAGACCGTGATCTTTTGTATCTAAGACGATGTCAGAAACGCGTGAATTTGAGAGTGGGAAAAACAGAGTTGTCAGTGCAAGATGACAAACTAGACCGTCAGAGGTGTGCAGGTTCGTTTTTGGGGAACGCAGCGCTGAAGTGACATAGAACATGGGAACCGTTTTTGCTACCACCCAAATCTATAGAATGCATGGGTTCTAAAAGTAAGGCGGAGGTGGCCATCCCAGGCCATACTGGCGGAGAAAGGTTGCAAATTGCTAGCGACGGTCGTTTTCCCAACGGCTTTCGGCCTTGCACGCAGCTGCATCAGCCATGCTTCAAGGTGTAGTTGATTTTCAGATTTTCAGTTGATATTTAGCGGATTTTTAGTTGTTGTATCACTGTCCGCATTGTCAGACTTTGATGGCAAACGGATTTGCAAATGATTCATGTGCAGGTGCTTTTTGTTCACCTGTGGAATGTCAGGAGCGTCTTCCGCCTGTGCTGTGCAGAGACACCGAAAATCCATTGGTCTAAGATACAGCGCGAATTTTGGCGATTCTCCACATACTCGCCACTTCTCTGTGCACTGATGTTTTCAGGTCGTGAGACTGGGAGATTCGTGTAGAGACCGATGGTTCAAGGGTAGTTCAAGGGTAGAGACACGGGCCAAGACTCCCTGGCAGAGCCCAGCGCCGAGGCGTCCCTGGTAGACGCCCTGTCCAATGACCGACCGGCGGCTTAGACGCGCAGGGCTCGGTTCTCGAAGGCATCCAGGGGTGCAGACTTCCTCCATCGACATCAGTTGGATCATGTTGGATCATGTTGGACATTGGGATACCTTTGGTGCGAATCTCAGAAATGACACAAGGATCACTGGTGATCACCAAATTCACTTCACCAAGGTGCCTTAAAGTGCGTAAAACCCATTCTCACCTTCAATATCTTCAATTTCCTTCACCGCTTTGCACTCAATTGACAAGTTTGGCAAGGTTTGACCATCTCAAAAATCACAACACATCCTAACTCTTCAATTTCCAGAGCTTCTCAAAGCTTTTCTGGTTGCGACATCCGTTGCGACATCCGTTCCACGCCTAGGGGCAATCCTCCGCAGGGTGGCCACCACAGCCAGGAAGAGACAGACCAAGCTCAACACCAGGGCACAGAGTCGCACCGCTGACACATCCTGGCTGCCAACGACATGTTCACATTCGCATATTTAGATGGCATTAGACATATATAGCACACTTATGTGCCAATTTTATGCCTCGAAATATCCTTGAGGGAAAAAGACTTTTCTTAAAAAAAAATTGGGGAGATGTATCACCCTTTAAGAAATCCCAAATCACAATTCAACGGCGAGATGCCACTTCGGGCCAATCGTAGAAGTTGTAGCGGGTAGGACGGCGAAGGTTCTCTGCCTCAACGAATGTGCGGACCACGGACCCTGTGTGGAACGAGAATGCAGTGTCTTCACAAGTCCTTAAAGGATCTTAAAGGAATATCATGGAATATCTGTTGTGTCGCACATTGACATCTTGAACTGGGCAAACAGAATCCTTGTGCCGATTCCTTCAAGCTTACCGGAACCTTTCACAAACTTTCTGGGAAATGTTAACCTTTCGGTAGCCTTTGAACCAAAATGACATCCTTTCACCGTAGCTGCCGAACCCTTCCCACCCGGGTGTGTTACGACAGCCCAAACTTCCGCGCCTTCACCAGCTCTGATCGAACTCCTGGAGCACTGTGTTGGATGTTGTTTCATCGAGATACTGTTGGGATACTGCTGGTACTCAATTGTACCATCAATTTACCATGTTGGATGTTGTACCATCAATTGTACCATCAATTGTACTCAATTGAGATAGACTGAGATATTTTCCGTGTTTCTGTCAACGCTGTTTAAGAAAATATTGACATGGTCAAGCAGTCTCCTGCCAGTGCCCAGCAAGCCACCAAACCAATGATGGCATCTGCCCGGGGGGCAGCAAAGGTCATCAAGCAAACGATGCTGGAAATGGCGCAGAAGGAAAGCATGGCGAAGGCCAACATGACCTCCAATTCATCGCGCATGGAGATGTCATGAGATGTCTCGTCTCGTCTTGGTTTCACGCTGGATGCCACGATGTTTCATGATGTTTCATGATGCTTCATGATGTTTCAGTTTCATGATGTTTCCACGTTGACTTTGACAGGATCTTTTTCGAAGAAGGAAAACATCGTGAACACTCAAAGAAAACTCAAAGGAACAATTTCCGAAATTGTTTTTTTTGATCTTCTGCCGGTTTCAATTTTGTCGGTTTCAGCCTCAGGAGAAGCCTGGTACCTATCTGCAAGAACGCAGAAATTCACGGCGCTGGCAGCGACTATCCAACCTGAACAACCAATGAAGACGAAACGAAGACAAAACGAACCCAAATGAGTAAAATTGATACATGGAAACCACATGTCATGCAACTTCGATACATCATTCTGACATCAACTCATATTTCTCTAGAAGTTCCTTGCAATTTCGCGCATGCTCCGATTCTGTCAGGATGTAAACAGCACCACTATGCCACTATGCACGACTGCCACGATGCGCACCTCCATGCAGAGAGAAGGGTGCTCGCAAGAGCCAGAACTCTTTGTTGCTGTGGGGCTGCAGGTCTGTTCTATAGATTCCACCCAGCAGCGACAGCAAGATGCCGACCATGCACCAGAAGGAGATGAAGATTGACTCTTGGGCGAAGCTCCTAAAGAGGGAACTCAGCTGTCCCTACCTTTCCTTGATGATGATGATGATGATTGCCCATAACAAGATGATACTGACAGGTTTGAGGAGTTTTGAAAGCGTGATGCCAGTCATGGTGGATGATAAAATATGATAAACCACGATCACATAGTGCAATTCTGATCCTCTCTTGCCACAGAGGCACAGGGTCCAGCAGCATTGGAAGGTACATGCAGCGATCCACCATGGTGTCATGTAAGTGATAACGTTGTTGGATCGAAACGAGGGAAACATCTGTGTCACTGCGAAGATGCCTTCCCAAATGAAGATGGGGCCCCAAATGGAGAAAGCATAGCCCGCTGGAGTCACCAAGGTCTGGTACTTTTGGCTCAGAGCCGTGTTGGTTTGGCCGAAAATGCCTCATGGCAGAACCCTGCCCCACTACATACAACATCCACAAAAAGGAAGACAAAAACATCCCAAAACATCCCACAACATGACAATGTATTGAAAAAGATTAAAGCTATCAGAACCCTCAACCCCCCCAGGCCTGTCAAGGATCCATAGGTCAAGCCCAAGTTCACCAAATACGCCAACAAATTTGCCCAATTCCTCCATCCCAAGGGAGTTGCCATCTCTGAGCTGTATCCCGCCATGGCCCACTGTCGAGTTTGAACACCAAAAAAACTGCCGAAAACGATTAGAAGGAACACATCTACCCACTTCCATCCACTTACGACTAGAAGGAGCTGGAAAAATACATGGAGACTTCAGAGTGACAACATCGGCTGTGTCCTGCGGCAGTGCATGAAACATCTGCTGGTTCTACGTGTTCCTTTTGGGCCTGGTAAAGGCTTAAAAGGAAAATAACATATGCTCACATGGCTCGAATATGGCCCCAACATAGCCTCCAAGAGCCTAACATGGATCAACATAGGCCCAAATCCAAAAACGACGAGTGAAAGAGGAGATAAAACTGCCATGGTATGGAACTGCTATTCATTATTAACAGTTGTTGCTCATTTCTTGAAAAGGGCAAACATGAAAGATGCAGCTCAAATGTTCATAATTACACTATATGTTTAAGACTTTAGTTCTTATTGGGATAGTGTGGGCAATTGGAGACATCAATATATTATGAATGATTGAGGTTAATATATGATTTAATTATTAACCTTGATTTTTCAAATATTCTTGACTTAAGAAAAACATATTTAAAGATAAAATGAATATATATATATATATTAGTAGTCGAATGGCTGAAAAGAAATACTGTTTTAGTTGTCAGAGTGAGAGAGGGATTGAACATTTTGAAGAGGGGTTCAAATCTTGTAAAGTATGTAGAGAACAAAGAAATACAGACAGAAAACATATCAGTGCGAACTATGCGATTTTGAAGGAAAGATTGGATGTAAGGCAAAACACGAAAAAAACGCAAAGACATCAAACACGTCTAAAGAGAAATCAAAGTCCAGATATACCAAAACTACCAGAGCCTGATGAGGTAAAGTTCTTTGATGGAAGGACACATTATTTTTGTAAAAAATGTAATTCTGTTGTGTGGTATATTTAGTGGGAACGGCATATGAATCAATTACATGGGTAGAAGATTTAGAATGCTGAACCTGAAATAAAAACAATTAAATATGTACAGTATTATTTAATTGTCTTTCTTCCATGGCTATTGACAGATTCAAGACTAAAAACTACTTAAAGACAAAATGACTATATATATATATACTATGTAGTAGAATGGCTGAAATGAAACACTGCTGTAGGTGTCATAAGGACAAAGCAAATGATGAGTTTAAAGAGGGGAGGAAATCCTGTATTACTTGTTTGGAAAAGTGGCAGAGTATGCTAAAAACAACCATGAAAAAATGCGTGAGAAATGTAAGAGACTTTATGAGAAAGAAAAGGGCAGGCTACTTCCAGAGAAAAGAGAAAGAAACAAGGAAAAGGTATGGAGTGACTGTTGTAGAACAGAAGTTAGAAAGGATGGATGGCAAGACCATTTAGCAACATACAAACACAAACGCTATAAAGAAATGGAAGAGGGAGATGTGATGAGGCAAGAGGGTAAGGTATGGTGCGAAACTTGTAGAATTCTTCCACGTTTTTTTTACTCTTTTTCGAGACTCCGGGTAAGTTTTCATGGGGTAGTTGGATGGAAAAAGGATGCCAACCTGTTCATGGACGACGTGTTGAACTCCAAGAAAAAAATGGTAGAACATGTTGAACATATTTTTATGCCATTATTGTTCCCACCGGTCGAGTTGTGCAGTTTGGGCTGCGCTCCATCAAAGTTCTTCTGTGCATCAAGTCTTGTCAGTCGTGTGTCTGTGCAACTTCTTGGAATGTAGCACAACTTCCATGAAAAAGCAGAGCCTTTGGTATGTGAAACCTAAAACCCATGTGGATTCGCATATTTTGCACCATGGCTGCAAACATGAAAAAATCAAACATTATTCGTGTGCACTGTATAAAATCTTAAATGCACAATCTGAAATCGAGCTATCCAACTTATCCAACTAAGTCAGGATCTCGAGTACCAAGTGCTACGAGTAGCTGGATGTGAGATGATGTTAGTATTGCCTTAACCCGGCACGCCTAGACCTCAAATAGGTTGGGGATCATGTGCCTTGCAACGTGGAATGACGAAGATTTCGTAGGGCGCATAGCAGCAGATGTGCCCGCAAGGTACATGGACCCCCTCGGCTCTGAGAGCCCCAACGTTGGCGAGACCAAAGTGGCCTGGTGTCCTTGATCAAGGCTGGCTGACCGAGGTGGATAGGTTTTGATGTGAAAGATGGAACCGCAAGACTATGTCTGTGGCAACTGATACGTAAAGTTCTTTTCTGCGCTTGCCGTGGCGCTTCCAAAACTGCGATTGCATAAGGGCCAGATGCACTTCAAGCGCCCCGTCCCTAAACATTTTAGCAAAAGCTTACGCCCCACAAATCATTCAGCAACGGAAGCGAGGAAGAATTAATGCAAACACTCGACGAATTCCAAGGGTTGCCGTACAGATCGAGTGTCTGCAGTTGCTCAAGTCCTTGGAATGTTCCCGCAGGCATTGTCGTCAACCTGTTGCTGCTCAGATCGAGTGTCTGCAGTTGCTCAAGTCCTTGGAATGTTCCCGCAGGCATTGTCGTCAACTGGTTGCGGTACAGAACGAGTTTCTGCAGTTGCTCAAGTCCTTGGAAAATTCCCGCAGGAATTGTCGTCAACTGGTTGTACTCCAGAGAGAGTATCTCTAGTTGCTCAAGTCCTTGGAATGTTCCCGCAGGAATTGTCGTCAACTGGTTGTCGTTCAGATAGAGTTCCTGCAGTTGCTCAAGTCCTTGGAATGTTTCCGCAGGAATTGTCGTCAACTGGTTGCCGGCCAGATAGAGTGTCTGCAGTTGCTCAAGTCCTTGGAATGTTCCCGCAGGAATTGTCTTCAACCAGTTGACCCCCAGATCGAGTGTTTGCAGTTGACCAAGTCCTTGGAATGTGCCCGCAGGAATTGTTGTCAACTCGTTGCCGCGCAGATCGAGTGTCTGCAGTTGACCAAGTCCTTGGAATGTTCTTGCAGGAATTGTCGTCAACTGGTTGTTGTTCAGATTGAGTTCCTGCAGTTGCTCAAGTCCTTGGAATGTTTCCGCAGGAATTGTCGTCAACTGGTTGCCGGCCAGATAGAGTGTCTGCAGTTGCTCAAGTCCTTGGAATGCTCCCGCAGGAATTGTCGTCAACTGGTTGTCGTTCAGATAGAGTTCCTGCAGTTGCTCAAGTCCTTGGAATGTTTCCGCAGGAATTGTCGTCAACTGGTTGCCGGCCAGATAGAGTGTCTGCAGTTGCTCAAGTCCTTGGAATGTTCCCGCAGGAATTGTCGTCAACTTGTTGTTCCACCCCAGATTGAGTGTCTGCAGTTGCTCAAGTCCTTGGAATGTGCCCGCAGGAATTGTTGTCAACTCGTTGCCGCGCAGATCGAGTGTCTGCAGTTGACCAAGTCCTTGGAATGTTCTTGCAGGCATTGTCGTCAACCTGTTGCTGCTCAGATCGAGTTCCTGCAGTTGCTCAAGTCCTTGGAATGTTTCCGCAGGAATTGTCGTCAACTGGTTGCCGGCCAGATAGAGTGTCTGCAGTTGCTCAAGTCCTTGGAATGCTCCCGCAGGAATTGTCGTCAAGAAGTTCAACCCTAAGCTGAGCCATCGGAGCTTCTTTAGTCCTGCAAAGGTGCCCGGGTGGATCTTCCTTAGCCAGTTGCTGCTGAAGTCGATCACCTGCAGCTGTTCGTTGTGTCCGAAGATGGCCCCGAGCTCCGTGATGAAATTGCCCGCCGAGATGAGGCGGGTCCCGTCCTCGGATCTTTTGCCGCCCAGGAGCAGCTGCTCCAACAGCGGCAGGTGTCGGAGCACTGCGGCCGAGAGCTCGGTGAGCTGGTTCTCGCCTTGGTCGATGCCAATCTGTGGAAAAGAAGAATGCTGAGATTTAGATAGATTTAGCTGGTTTAGCTGGTTCAAAGAACTGTGTCAAAGAAATGTGTTCATGTTCAGCTGACAAGTGTCTCATCGCTAATAGTTTCAGCTGCTTTAAGCCCCGAAGAGAATCTTCGTGCATTGTTTCCAGCTTAACTCGTGTCAAGTCCAACTGCTCCAATGATGATAGACCTGAAACATCAATTTAATGTATGGCTGCTGTATGCTGCTGTATGAACATCACACATTGTGTCATTGCATGGCTGCTCGAAGCATGCTCGAAGCCTTTGCAGAACTATGCAGAATTGTTCTTTGACCAACGCTGCTCAGAGCTTCCTGCCTTCAAAGAGGCCCGGAGGCAGATGGATCAAGCTGTTGTTCGCCAATGACAGGCGCTGCACATGTCCGAGTTTGCTGAAAGCCTTTGGGTCCACGGCAGTGATGTTCTTCCCAGCGAGGTTCACCTAAAGTTGGTGCGCAGGGGAAGCATATGTAAGAAAAATGCATTATCCATCCAAATGAAATTAGATGCACAAAAGAACCTGAGAAGGGGGAACGAAAGCCAGCATCCCATCTATCCCTATGTTCGCCAATATTTTTCACCCAAAGACTCTTCACCCAGAAACCCTTCTTGCACATATACTTTTCACCCATAAACTTTTCACCCACAGACTCTTCACCCAGAGACTCTTCTTGCACATACTTTTCACCCATATTCTTTTCACCCATAGACTCTTCACAAAGAAACTCTTGTTGCAGATACTTTTCACCCATATACTTTTCACCCAGAGACTCTTCACCCAGAAACTCTTATTGCACAGACTTTTCACCCAGAAACTCTTCTTGCACATACTTTTCACCCATATACTTTTCACCCAGAGACTCTTCACCCAGAAATTCTTCTTGCACATACTTTTCACCCATATACTTTTCACCCAGAGACTCTTCACCCAG